CCACCAAGATTGACATGCTAAAATCGCCACTGAGTGGAGGTATACGACTTATCAATTATGTAGGACAATAGAGAAATCATGCACAAAGTAGCCTACACAATCACAAAGCACACACATAGCTTAGTTTCAGCGGAATATCATCTGCAGGCAGCAAGAGTGTGCAGCTCTAAAATGGTTTTGGCATGGAGCAGCTCACAGAAGAATGACATCGGTAGCCGGTAGGGTACGAAAGACGTTTCAACTTATATCTACCGGTAAATGCTAACTAAGGCAACAATGGGTATGCAAACCAGGTATTGAAAAAGTTTAGTCTGAAGTGTTGGTTAGTAGGCTATTTGTGATGCTGTGATCATAGGCAGTGGGTGGACAGAGGCCCAGGCCCTGACAGGCCCACCCAATCAGATTGATGTGGTTTAAGCATTGTTGTGGACTTAGACTATCACATTTTTGTATTTTCTATAAAAACAAAGTGTGATTTTGAGAGTGAAAATCAGAAAAATCTATAGGAAAATTAATAAAAAAGCCATAGGAAAACATAGGATTTTTCACACAGGGTGCCTTTCCTTCACTGGGCTGGCCGTTTAGGAACTTTTTTGCTAAATTAAAAAAGTATACCCACTTCTCCAGGCACCACTACACCACTGCATAGGGCCGATGGAAAGACAGCAGTCACACACAGCATGATGTTAAAGGATAAGCAGTCCATAAACTCGGACATAATAAGCCAGTAGGTCCCAATCATAAGAATACAAAAACACAACCATTAAGACTTTCCCAATCGAAATGTACAACTATTACTTCCCATTGCAAATAGCATTTCATGTTTAGCACACAAAGTAACCTGTGACCTTAAGTTTAAAGTGGAACTGACAGCATTTTAACTACTTTGCAGATATGAAACAAACAGACAAAAAATATCAAATTCCCAGTTTATGCTACAGAACCAACTTTATAAGAGGTTTTAAAAATAGGTTCTATTTGACTCAACGACGTACAAGAAGGCATTGTTGGCAGAATAGATGGATGCAGTTCAATGCATGATTAATATAATTCACCATTACATTTCTTGGTAGTCCAAAATATATTGCTATCAGGTTGTAAATTACAGCTGGCCTGGTACATTGTTTGCTGCCTCCATTCGGGATGCACTGTTTCAGTTTCAATGACTCAATATTCTGGACAAAAACGGATGAATGTAACTAATGCTGGGAAGGTCAATACAATCAAACTAGAAGGGAAATTATCACAAGTCAGTCATAACGTGGCTAATAGGCTAGCGCATATATTTATGTAGCAAGCTAAAAACACAGAGCCTAATGTTAGCTAGATAGCTAGCTAGCTAGCTGCTAGGAGGATGTCATGTCATGCCATTGGAGTAGTGGGTGAGTGACTGACTTTTCCCCCTCATATTGTTTTTCAGTGGCTATACAGAGCTAGAGATGCAGGTGTCATTTGGTTAGCTAGCAAGAACTTGAATGACTATTATCCAGTTAGCATATCTCCTGCGTTTGCAAATTCACTCTGGCTATCTACTCCGATTTCAGAGCACTCTCGTCTAGTTAGCAAGCTAGACAACTTTAGCCAGTTAGCTTGGGTGCTTGGTTGGGACATGGATTGGCAGGCACGCTGCAGAAAGGACGAGGAGGCTACAATTCCCTATCATTTATCAGTGCAATTTTGATGGCCAAATAGCTGAAAAAGCTTCAGAGGGTTTATCTAATGTTCCTTTGTTATATTTTAGCTCATCTTGCTCTGACTAGCATTAGTTGTTGATCTTGTTGTTGGTGATGTGCATAACTGATGGAGAGAGAGCCTACGCTTTCATGGTTGTTTGATCAATAGGACTGTAAAGTTCCCAAATGTAAGAGGACTCCCATGGTGTTTACATATTTACAGAAATCCATTCAGGTGTATTTTGTGGCTTTTGCGTTCTAATGATCTAAAGTCGTGCTGTTGCAACTGCCTGTAAACACACAGTAAGGTTCTAAGTGAATGACAGCAGGCCTGTGTGGCAATGGCTTGTTTGTATAAAGGCCTACTGTAGCTCTGATTGGCTATAGCGCACCGGTCTGTGTAGACTCCAGTCCTGGATAAGACAGAGGTTTTTATGCGGTTTTATTTACTGCAGTGTCTATTAATTGTCCAAATGCACAGCCGCTTTCCCACTCTATATTTCTATAGAATTTTCACAAATGCCTTAGTATATGTAATTCCCAAACATTCAAGGAATTTATGAAAATGTGAAAATGACCATATCTAAGTGGTTGCTTGTCAGATTATATATCTTGTGTTGTCATATTCTTCCTGGGGGTGTATATGAACAGGTTTCATGTTGCTAAAATGCTGTCAGTTCTACTTTAAATGCAACAATGTTTCACACACATAAGTTATTTTCAAAGAGATGGCTAACAATAGCAAGTGTGCTGCAACATAAAACACAGATGATGATCATTTGAAACTTAACTTCTTGTTGCAAGTTATTCTTGAAAAGGGAGAAGCTAACAAATTAGCAACAACATCCTCTTTGATTACACCTGCTGCAGCTGCCGCTAACTAGCCGACATCAAAAGCTAGCTAACTAGACCATGGGAAAACTACTGCTCACTATTGCGCAGTGACCTGTTGGCCTTCAAGAAGGCAGAAGTTTCCATACATTTTTGTAAAAATGGTCCCACCCATTAAGTCAAAATGTGATTAGTTGATTCCACTGTCACTCCAAAATGTTGCCCTAATACAGTTGAATGGCAGATGCCTTTATCTAGCTTCTGATGGCCTAGCCAATGCCTGACTTAGCAATGCCTGACTTTATCTCACCAGAGACCAGCAAAGAAAAATCCCGATTGGATCTTTTTTTCGCTTCAGTGTTAACCCTTTCCTTTCCAAAAAAAACTGAAGAGATTAAATCAGAACATCATTGAAAATAATAATATAATGCTCATTATTATTATAATAATTATTTTATAAATCCTTAGTCCGTAGAAGGCCCATTGTTCCCCACTGTGTTTGGGTTAGTAATCATTTGTAGAGTGGCTCTATTTTCCCTTAGCATGCATTTTTTCTAAAGAATCCATATGTTGTTCTGAAATATGAACACAGAAATACTGGACATTCTTTGTGACAGTGATTTGACAAAATTACAATCATGGTCTTCAATTGGACTCGCATTTTTCTGGTCTCGGTCTTGACTCGGTCTCGGACCCACTCCGGTCTTGGTCTTGATTCGGATTCGATTTGCTCCGTTCTTGGTCTTGAATCGGTCTCGCTTTAGGTGGTCTCGAATACAACACTCAATTCTACAACAGAGTAGCCTCCTCCACAAGAGGCTCTGCTGCTGCTTAGCTGTCTAGTCCCCCAATGGCTGTCATAATAACCATACGGCAAATGATGTGGACACAAAAAAGTGACAGGTGAGGGGAAAGATTAAATATTTTGAAGACCCCCTTAACAGTTGAAATGTGGACCTATAAGGGTTGTTGGTTTGTGACCTGCTTTGGCAATTACATGAATGTAAAGGTCAGGGGTTATGACTGTGAAAACAGGGGTCAGTTATGTTACTGGTAGAAGTTGCCCATAGGAACAGATCTAAGATTAGTTTACCCTCCCCCAATCCATTACCTTTACCATTTACCAACAATGCAAAGACCCAACTCAGATCTGATCAGTGTCTAGGGGCAAATTCAAACTAGTCTGGGGGTCAAATACCAAAATGACAGTGACTCTACCTAGTGGACAAAATAACAACAGCAAATTATACAGCTGTATTTACATTTTAGCTGACGCTCTTATCCAGAGTAACTTACTGGAGCAATTAGGGTTAAGTGCCTTGCTCAAGGGCATATCAACAGATTGTTCACCTAGTCGGCTTAGGGATTCGAACCAGCCACCTTTTGATTATTGGCCCAACACTTTATTTATTTTTTACCCCCTTGTTCTCCCCAATTTCGTGATATTGAATTGCAATCCATTTACGATCTTGTCTCATCACTGCAACCCCCCAACGGGCTTGGGAGAGGCAAAGGTCGAGTCATGCGTCCTCCGAAACATGACCCGCCAAACCTTACTTCTTAACACCCGCCCGCTTAACCCGGAAGCCAGCTGCACCAATGTGTCGGAGGAAACACTGTTCAACTGATGACAGAAGTGCCCGGCCCGCCACAAGGAGTCGCTAGAGCGCGATGAGCCAAGTAAAGCCCCCCCAGCCAAACCCTCCCCTAACCCGGACGACGCTGGGCCAATTGTGCGCCGGCCTATGGGACTCCCGGTCACGGCCGGTTGTGACACATCCTGGGATCAGTGTGATACACTGCCTTAGACCGCTGCGCCACTCGGGTGGCCCCGGCCCAACACTCTTAACCACTAGGCTACCTGCCGCCTTATCTGTATGCGAGTACGTGTGGATCCTTGTATACAGTGATATGTACATTATTTTGTATAGTCATATACAAACAAGGAATGGATTAAGAAATGAATATGCCTTTAATACCCCAAAAACTCAAATTGACATTTTATTATTATTTTTATTTATATTTATTTAACCTTTATTTAACCAGGCAAGTCAATAAAGAAATGATCTCCCAATAAATCCTGCCTATATTTGCATTTAAACCTCTGTTTTGGATTTGTACACTTTTTCGACAGTGTTCCCTAAGTCAATGAAGAGCACATTCTTATTTGCAATGACAGCCTTTTCATTCATAACATCTTCAACAGTAACATATCTGTTTAACATATGAGTCATATAATGTACATTATACACAGAGAGAAAGACCATGGTAGATGGCAGTTTTAATGTCCTTGTGTGCACTTATGGCACAACTGGTCCACATGTACGCATACAAACTCACACACACACACACACACTTCAAAGCATCCCTCCATGTGAAACCACACGCCTAGTTGTGGAACCACAGACATAAACAGGTGCACTTTAGGAGACAATGCTTTTGTTGTTTACAAAAGGCTCAATTAAATGCACACGCGTGCACAAACACACACACACACACACACACAAACACACACACGTACACGTAATCCCACTTTAATTATATGTTGGTTGGCTTCAAATTTCCATATAGGCCGTCTCTGTTGAAAAAGATTAAAGCGTTACAACTATATTACAAGCATTGTGTGAGTGATATGTTTGTGTGTGTGTGTCTGTGTGTGTGTGTGTGTATGTCCTACCGCTCCACAGCCACTCGTCTCTCAGCTGTGTTTTGTCCAGGGGGTGTGTGAGCGGAGGTAAGCTGTCAGCAGCGACCCCCGCTCTGCAGCTCTCTATCAGCTTCTCCAGAGTCCCAAAACACTGCAGCATCTCCCCAGGGGATAACTACACACACACACACACACACACACACACACACACACACACACACACACACACAATTGTGTTGTATTGTAAGCTGCTACTTCATTGTCTACTTGTTGATTGTTAATAAAGTGCAGTTATTCTCACATACAGTGCCTTCAGAAAGTATTCACACCCCTTGACTTTTTCCACATTTTGTTGTGTTACGGCCTGAATTTAAAATGGTTTAAATTTAGATTTTGTATCAATAAGTATTCAACCTCTTTGTTATGGCAAGCCTAAATAAGTTAAGGACTAAAAATGTACTTAACCAGTCACATAATAAGTTGCATGGACTCAATCTGTGTCCAATAATAGTGTTTAACATGATTACCTCATCTCTGTACCCCACACATACAATTATCTGTAAGGTCCCTCAGTCGAGAAGTGAATTTCAAACACAGATACAACCAAAAAGAAAAGGGAGGTTTTCCAATGCCTTGTAAAGAAGGGCACCTATTGGTAGATGCAGACATTGAATATCCCTTTGAGGATGGTGAAGTTATTAATTACACTTTGATGGCGTATCAATACACCCAGTCACTACAAACTCCCGAGTGGCGCAGTGGTCTAAGGCACTGCATCGCAGTGCTAGCTGTTCCACTAGAGATCCTGGTTCGAATCCAGGCTCTGTCGTAGCCGGCCGCGACCGGGAGACCCATGGGGCGGCGCGCACAATTGGCCCAGCGTCGTCCAGGGTAGGGGAGGGAATGGCCGGCAGGGGATGTAGCTCAGTTGGTAGAGCATGGCGTTTGCAACGCCAGGGTTGTGGGTTCGATAAAAAAATAATGTATGCACTAACTGTAAGTCGCTCTGGATAAGAGCGTCTGCTAAATGACTAAAATGTAAATGTAAAATGTACAAAGATACAGGAGTCCTTCCTAAATCAGTTGCCAGAGAGGAAGGAAACCGTTACCGATTTTAATGGCTGTGATAGAAGAAAACTGAGGATGGATCCACAACATTCTAGTTACTCCACAATACTAACCTAAATGACAGAGTGAAAAGAAGGAAGCCTGGAAGAATACAAATATTCCAAAACATGCATCCTGTTTGCAATAAGGCACTAAAGTAAAACTGCAAAAAATGTGGCAAAGAAATGAACTTCATGTCCTGAATACAAAGCGTTATGTTTCGGGCAAATTCTGCCAAAGGTGATTCTACCATGTATTGCCTCAGGGGTGTGAATACGTATGTAAATGAGATATTTCTGTATTTCATTTTCAATAAATTCGCAGAAAATTCTAAAAACATGTTTTCGCTTTGTCATTATGGGGTATTGTGTGTAGATTGGTGAGGAAAAAATATTTTGAATCCATTTGGAATTCAGGCTGTAGCACAACAAAATGTGGAATAAATCAAGGGGTAGTACTGTATATACAGTTGAAGTCGGAAGTTTACATACACTTAGGTTGGAGTCATTAAAACTTGTTTTTTAACCACTCCACAAATTTCTTGTTAACAAACTATAGTTTTGGCAAGTCGGTTAGGACATCTACTTTGTGGATGACACAAGTAATTTTTCAACAATTGTTTACAGACAGATTATTTTACTTATAATTCACTGTATCACAATTCCGGTGGGTAAGAAGTTTACATACACTAAGTTGACTGTGCCTTTAAATAGCTTGGAAAATTCCATAAAATGATGTCATGGCTTTAGAAGCTTCTGATAGGCTAATTGACATCATTTGAGTCAATTGGAGGTGTACCTGTGGATGTATTTCAAGGCCTACCTTCAAACCCAGTGCCTCTTTGCTTGACATCATGGGAAAATCAAAAGAAATCAGCCAAGACCTCAGAAAAAGAATTGTAGACCTCCACAAGTCTGGTTCATCCTTGGGAGCAATTTCCAAATGCCTGAAGGTACCACGTTCATCTGTACAAACAAACAATAGTATGCAAGTATAAACACCATGGGACCACACAGCCGTCATACCGCTCAGGAAGGAGACGCGTTCTGTCTCCTAGAGATGAACGTACTTTGGTGCAAAAAGTGCAAATCAATTCCAGAACAACAGCAAAGGACCTTGTGAAGATGCTGGAGGAAACAGGTACAAAAGTATCTATATCCACAGTAAAATGAGTCCTATATCAACATAAAGGAAGAAGCCACTGCTCCAAAACCGCCATAAAAAAGCCAGACTATGGTTTGCAACTGCACATGGGGACAAAGATCGTACTTTTTGGAGAAATGTCCTCTGGTCTGATTAAACAAAAATAGAACTGTTTGGCCATAATGACCATCGTTATGTTTGGAGGAAAAAGGGGGATGCTTGCAAGCCGAAGAACACCATCCCAACCGTGAAGCACGGGGGTGGCAGCATCATGCTGTGGGGGTGCTTTGCTGCAGGAGGGACTGGTGCACTTCACAAAATAGATAGCATCATGAGGAAGGAAAGTTATGTGGATATATTGAAGCAACATCTCAAGACATCAGTCAGGAAGTTAAAGCTTGGTCGCAAATGGGTCTTCCAAATGGACAATGACCCCAAGCATACTTCCAAAGTTGTGGCAAAATGGCTTAAGGACAACAAAGTCAAGGTATTGGAGTGGCCATCACAAAGCCCTGACATCAATCCTATTGAAAATTTGTGGGCAGAACTGAAAAAGCGTGTGCGAGCAAGGAGGCCTACAAACCTGACTCAGTTACATCAGCTCTGTCAGGAGGAATGAGCCAAGATTCACCCAACTTATTGTGGGAAGTTTGTGGAAGGCTACCCGAAACGTTTGACCGAAGTTAAACAATTTAAAGGCAATGCTACCAAATACTAATTGAGTGTATGTAAACTTCTGACCCACTGGGAATGTGATGAAAGAAATAAAAGCTGAAATAAATAATTCTCTCTACTATTATTCTGACATTTCACATTCTTAAAATAAAGTGGTGAGCCTAACTGACCTAAGACAGGGAATGTTTACTAGGATTAAATGTCAGGAATTGTGAAAAACTGAGTTTAAATGTATTTGGCTAAGGTGTATGTAAACTTCCGACTTCAACTGTATACACTGACTACAAGGCCTTGCATGGGCAGGCATAACATGGGAGGTATTAGTCACTCGTGTGTACATGTGTGTGTCTGTGCGTGTCTGTGTGCAGTGAGCATTAATAGTTCAAAAAGTTCAAGTTTCAAGTTTATTTTCCATGTGTAATGAATACTTTGGAAATCATGTTCCCTTGTGTTCTCACGATAATACCGAGTAACTCACTTGAAGTGTCCATCCTTCAGAGGAGTGGTGGATTCTGTAAGTGTGGACGTACGGTGTCCTTCTGAACCAGAGAGAGAAAGGATTTACACTCAGATTCAGGATATCCATTTTCACAACCTTATGTCAATATAAACCAAAGGTAAAACAAACTGGCGACATTGAAACACACACGTTGAAAAAACTATTCACTCATTCTGAATGTGCTCTTATTTCTAATTAGGTATTTCTACTAATCTCAGTACAAGACATCTTGTTTTGTCTCTAAACTCCTATGAGTAATTTTCAGCAAATTAATAGACCATTTCAATTACTGTTCAATTATTGTTATTTTTTCATGCTACAGCAATTGATAATGGTCCTAACAATCAATCTAGTTGAACTTAAATAATAGTAAACCTTTGTAGCCCGAGTGACAGCCTAAAATGTAGATACAGAAAATGTTAACTTTCTGATTTAATAAAATAATGTGTTTGCTTGCTTGAGCTGTCTAAAAGCTCTGTATAAAAGCCTATGCCTACTCCATTTCTACATCCATATGATATTATATTTAATATGACATTAAATAAAACGGTCTTTGCTCAATCATATAATTTGTAGGCCTAAATCTCAATTAAAATACAATTCAGTGGCCAAATTGTGGATTTTCCCAACAATAAGGCCTATTTTGTCATGTAAGAAATGACTACAACATATATAGTATCAAAAATTTCATGATATACATTAACAGAAAGCTTACATAAAGTATACATAAAAACAGTATAAAAAATCACATAGGCCTCTGGAAGTTTAAATCCGTAACATTCTGTCAAAAACTCGCTCCACAAAAAAATAGGCTAGAGAATGAGTTTATCAACTCACCTCACGCAGAGGCAGTAAACTCCTTGCAGACTCTCGCTGTCCCGCAGGAGAAAGCTCCCCTCTCTACCATGCCTCTCCAGCAACCTCTCCGTTTTCCCCTTACCGATATTACCGTAGTAGATAGACAGGACCAGCGCGCTCTCACTCTCTGGCTCTGTGAGCGTACAACCTTGGAGATGAGCACGGCTGTCAGCCTTGCGAGCCATGGAGCCCTGATGAGAGAGTGTGCAGACAGACAGACAGACAGACAGACTGTGGGAAAGGGCGCGAGGCAGGAACAGACAGCGTCTTGGTGTTTCACACTGTTTTTTTAAATCGTGTCAACTGCAAAAAACTGGCACACCTAGTGTTTTCTTCTCAGCTTCAAGTCAAAACAAGGGCCTTTTGTCTGTGTGATTCAGACAGACAACACCATTCTCTGACAGACGGAAATGTGTGTGTGTGTGTGTGTGTGTGTGTGATTCTTTCTAGATATTTTGTCCATTGTCTTAAATGGAGTTATGACGTGAGAAGTACTAAATTGAATATTAGGCCTACAGAATTATAATTAATTAGATGTGAGCATGTGACAATTTGTGGTGTTTCCTTCTGAAATTGTTTTAAATCTCACTCAAGCAAAATGGTTTAGGTTTCAATTGTGAATTAAATATAGGCTTGACAAATCAATAATTGAACTATAGGCTACTTGGGGTTTGCATAAAATATATAGAAATTAAAAACTATGAGCAAGAGTCAGGCTGCATTCCAGCTAGCACATTTGGTTCCTTTGAAATTGTGGGAACTAAGTTGTTGGTTTCGCATTGGTTCTGGGAACGAAGCCATAAGTTTCCTTAATTGTAAAACTGAACGTTTTTTTAATGTTCTGAGAACGGAAGTGAACATTTCACCTGTTCTGGGAACATTCATTTTTAGGTTGCAGTGAGGTTCTGAGAACGTTTTACTTGGACGTTTTTCTTGGAGGTTTTATTAACTTTCTGAGAATGGAAATTATCGGTTATTTGGAGGTCCTTAAATAAGTTCCTTAAAACTTCCACTGAATGTTTCAGTAAGACTTTTTATAACACAGCTAGCTTAATTTAACTGTTCTGACCTCCAAGCACAAATATAAATTAATTTGCTTAAGCATTAATCATGCAAACATATTTATTTATTATGGTTGCACGGCGTCAGTGAGATTCAAACCTATGATCTTCTGTTCTCTATCCATGGAATTAGTCCACTGCACCACCAGGTTTTAAACTAATACTAAGCTGTTCACTTTAGTCTATTCAAATGACCCCATTTCAAAGGAAACAGGCACTCATTAAGATCAGGTGTGGCCAATTAGTGGGCGCAGCCAACACACCTGAACACACTTAACAAGATAGAGGATAGAGAGAGTTTTGTTGACGATGAGAACGGAATGTATATGTTTTTCAATAACATTCTCAGAACGTTCTTTCAACATTACTAATGTTTTCTTGAGGTTTTTATGGAACATTTTCTTAATGTTCTGCGAACATGACTTTAAATAGAACCATGAGAAAACCTGGTGGAAATGTAATGGTGAAGTATTGAAATTCCCAAAGGAGAATGTTGTTTCTTAACCTTCTCTGAACTATTTCAGAAAATTCCCAATGTCAAACCAGTTGGAGAACGTTCCTAGAACATTCCCCAAAATTAAATTAAAATGTAAAATTAAAATTAAATGTAACCATGTTTTAACTTAGAAAATGTTCTGTTAAAGTAATGAAATAGCAAGAAAATAACGTTATTTTGTCAAGTTCCTTAAATGTGCTGAGGATGTTCCAAAGCCAAGCAACTATCCTGCACCATTCCGAGAACGTTGTGGGAAAGTTGTATGCAAAATAACCACAGGACAACCAACCGCTCACCAAGCTCTAAGAAACATTTGGTTCTCAGAACGTTATGTGCTACCTGGGATCTTTATGCAAACCATAAATAGGCATCAGGCCTAAATAACTTTTTATGAACTTTTTAAGCGCCTGGCAGTTTGAATCATTTTGAGAGAGGATGTCAACAAAGTAGGATATAACCAACTATATACTCTAAACAAAACAATTTCCTTGTTCATAACCTCCTTCACATTGTGCAGGGTGGACTTCTTCTGTGCAGGGACATTCACATTGACGTTTCTCTAGAAAACAATTTCAATATGCTATTTCAAATTCTTGTTTAGTTTCAACTATGCTGTTTTAGTAAACCCACTTGAGTTATTTTCCCCTTCATCACACACACACACACACACACCACAGCGCAGACACCCCTTCGCGGTGGGCCAGACAGCGGAGCCAATTGCTCAGTGTGCAATGCGTGGGAGGGAGCAGCGGCCGACCGACGAGCGACAGATAGGTGGTTTTGGAATGAGAAACAGATCCACTGCAATCAGTCCATCAGATGATATGCGAGAGATCAAACGTCTGTTTGAGGGTGGTGGGGGTTGGGGATGTGTCAAATTTCGAAGTCTTTAGAGCCGAAAGTGGCTGTCTGGTAGTAGACACATCTAGGCCCATAACACAAATCACACGTGATTGGCTGTTTATAAGGGGAGAGGAGTTTCCTTTTAGCAATATGAGATTCATGATCTTATTTTACTTAATTCTCTCTCAACTTTTGTGTGTGAAAATATAGCTATGCTACTATGGTCATCTTGAACCTCCCTTTCCTCCCCATTTACCACCAGATATATATCCACTTCACGCCCCCACACACACACTCATCTCTCACTTCCCCTCCACCTCTTTCGCTCTCTCTCTCTCTCTGTGGTGTGACAGTGAGGGTGAAGTGGCTGTGACTTCACTAATGAAAGATCAAAGAGATGCTACCACACAGCACTACAAGCAGCACCAAAGAAACCGTCTCAGGGAAGCTCATCTGCGTGCTCATCGTCCTTACCAGGGTCTTGATCTGACTGCAGTTCGGCGTCGTAACCGATTTCAGTGGGCAAATTCGCACCTTCCATGGCCACTGGCACGCTGGAGAAGTGTGCTTTTCACGGATTAATCCCGGGTTTCAACTGTACCGGGCAGATGGCGTTGTGTGGGCGAGCGGTTTGTTGATGTCAACGTTGTCAACAGAGTGCCCCGTGGTGGCGGTGGGGTTATGGTATGGGCAGGCATAAGCTATGGACAACGAACACACCACTCCTCTTTGCAGATCTTCTCCAAGTCATTAAGGTTTCGAGGCTGACGTTTGGCAACTCGAACCTTCAGCTCCCTCCACAGATTTTCTATGGGATTAAGGTCTGGAGACTGCCTAGGCCACTCCAGGACCTTAATGTGCTTCTTCTTGAGCCACTCCTTTGTTGCCTTGGCCGTGTGTTTGGGTCATTGTCATGCTGGAATACCCATCCACGACCCATTTTCAATGCCCTGGCTGAGGGAAGGAGGTTCTCACCCAAGATTTGACAGTACATGGCCCCGTCCATCGTCCCTTTGATGCGGTGAAGTTGTCCTGTCCCCTTAGCAGAAAAACACCCCCAAAGCATAATGTTTCCACCTCCATGTTTGACGGTGGGGATGGTGTTCTTGGGGTCATAGGCAGCATTCCTCCTCCTCCAAACACGGCGAGTTGAGTTGATGCCAAAGAGCTCGATTTTGGTCTCATCTGACCACAACACTTTCACCCAGTTCTCCTCTGAATCATTCAGATGTTCATTGGCAAACTTCAGACGGGCCTGTATATGTGCTTTCTTGAGCAGGGGGACCTTGCGGGCGCTGCAGGATTTCACGGTATAGTGTGTTACCAATTGTTTTCTTGGTGACTATGGTCCCAGCTGCCTTGAGATCATTGACAAGATCCTCCCGTGTAGTTCTGGGCTGATTCCTCACCGTTCTCATGATCATTGCAACTCCACGAGGTGAGATCTTGCATGGAGCCCCAGGCCGAAGGAGATTGACAGTTCTTTTGTGTTTCTTCCATTTGCGAATAATCGCACCAACTGTTGTCACCTTCTCACCAAGCTGCTTGGCGATGGTCTTGTAGCCCATTCCAGCCTTGTGTAGGTCTACAATCTTGTCCCTGACATCCTTGAAGAGCTCTTTGGTCTTGGCCATGGTGGAGAGTTTGGAATCTGATTGATTGATTGCTTCTGTGGACAGGTGTCTTTTATACAGGTAACAAACTGAGATTAGGAGCACTCCCTTTAAGAGTGTGCTCCTAATCTCAGCTCGTTACCTGTATAAAAGAAACCTGGGAGCCAGAAATCTTTCTGATTGTTAGGGGGTCAAATACTTATTTCCCTCATTAAAATGCAAATCAATTTATAACATTTTTGACATGTGTTTTTCTGGATTTTTTTGTTGTTATTCTGTCTCTCACTGTTCAAATAAACCTACCATTAAAATTATAGACTGATCATTTCTTTGTCAGTGGGCAAACGTACAAAATCAGCAGGGGATCAAATACTTTTTTCCCTCACTGTAGCTGCATCCACAATGCTCATAGCTAACAGAATACCCACATAATCTATACAGTATACATCCATACAACCACAGTGCATATAAAACAAGGCACTGGGGGACATTATACTATACAATCAAATGCTAAATGTCTGAAATGAGATGACAAAAACAACAGAACTAGCAAGCTTGCAGTTGCTAGCTTGCGGTAAAAACGCTAATTAGCATAAGAAAGAGAAACTACATAATCTTTCCGAGTGAGTCCACAACACATGAAGAGTAAGAAATATGTACTCACATTTCTGAAGGACGCACACTGGTTAAAACAAAGAATGCTAACTAAAGGTAATCACAGGAGATGGCTGGAACTTATCACTTGGATTGTGTACTTTTCTCTAGTTACTTCCTTTTCCTCAGAGCTGGAGATCGCCCAGCATGCTCTGCTCCACATCACCGGTGGGCGGAGCTACAGGTCTCCTATGATGAACTAATATTTCTTCTCCATAGCCTTTTTGTGAACTTGCAAAGTCAATTTGCTCCCGAGTAAGGCTAATGGCTCTTGGGAAGGGCTATGGCAGGCGTACTTTCGTCATCTTCTCTGTCTGGGATAGCTGGGAGGATGACCAACCGGGTGACAGGACGGTAATAGGTTCTGTCCTTGATATTGACCTCGGCAGACCTCACATGACCATCTGCACTTGGGTGAACTTTAATGATCCGTCCAATGGGCCAGAGGTCTCTTGGAAGCTGGGGTCCACCAACATAACCACCATGTCTTCTTTGAGGTGTGCAGGGATGGCATGCCACTTCTGGCGGGCTTGCATGCTGGGTAAGTAGTGCCTGAT